CACTTGACTGAAAGGTTAGGTGCTTATATAGAATTTATATGTATTATTAAATAAACAGATATATTTATTATTATAAATTTTAAATAAATAAAAAATAAATTATTTAAATGATAAGTTAAATTAAAAAAATAAAAAAATTATTTTTAAATTATTTTTTATAATTAATTTATTATATCATATTTTTTATCCACATGGCAATAATATTAGAATTTAAAAAATATGATGTTTTATCAAAAAAAAAAGAGATGTTCTAACGGAAAGATAAGCCACATCAGCATTTAATAGATAGAAGGACTGAATTGGTATAAAAATCAAAGCTTAGTGATATTTTTAGTAATTTTTAAAATTTAAAGATAAATTTGGTTAAAAAATGAAAGTTGAGGGACCAAATTATATATTTAACCTATAATTATATCGTTTTTCATTTTTCAGTTTGTGGGCTAGAAACAAACTCATTCAATATCTTATTGGCAGACTATTATTTTTATCTCAAAATAATTTTTGTTGTTTGGGTCGGAATTTGTACTTTAGTTAATTGTCATTCTTTCATACTTTAAGAGAGATATAATTTTTCTACTTAATTTTTTTTTTAATAGTTCTACTTTAAATTAATTGTCCTAGAAAAAGTTAAAAAAAATGATAGTGGATAAGGGAGTATAAGATTTGAGATTTCATGTTAATAAATGTGCATAATTTTTCTTTTTAATTTGAAAAATTCAAATCGCATTTTAATTTTCGGCTATTGCTTAGCTTTCATAAACCGCATTGATAATATTATAATTAAATATCACATAAAAGGCATTAAATGAAACATGATGTGATATTAAATAAATAGATGCATACAATATTAAGAGTAAATTTTAAATGAAAATAATTAGTTATATGATAAGATATCATATTATAAGTTTATAATATCATTTAGTATTATAATTAAGGCATTTTCATAAACCACAATTAATTTTGATTGATACTCTTTTTTCATAGTGGTTTAATGGCAAATATAATTCTTGGATATTTAAGAAATAAGCAAAAAAAATATCTAAAATCTTTTCTTATGATAAATAAAATTCAACTCTTTTGAAAAATTAGTCATTCATAATTTTTTCATCCATTTCCGTTATCACATTTAACGGATGTCCATTAACATGTTAAAACTATTAAAATTTTAAAGGATTTGTCTAATTTATATTTTAAAAACACAGATTAAGCATGTATTAAATACATATTTTTGTTATAAATTTATATTAAAAAAATAAAAATCAATATTTTATTTTTATTAATTATTCAATTAAATTCACACACTTAGTACTAATATTAAAATTAATATCAACTTTTATATTTTTATGTACATTTATAATAAACTATACTCTTAACATATGCCATAAGAGCATAGATTAGAAAAACCTAAATTTAACAAAATCCACCATAATCCAATCAATTATGCTCCTTTCAGCATTTCTTTTAGAGCAAAAGCTAATTTCATAAAGGAAAATGATGTGTGCACACCCGGATCCAACACCCGGGTGTGCACATC